AAACAGGAACTGTTGGCCTCTGCTGGTTTTCATCTCCTCCCAAGCATCATTGGTGTCAATGTTAGTGAGTAAGGCTGCACCATCCCCATGATGAGATGTGCTTCTAAGCTTCTTGGGGCCTCAGAACTCATCCAGTGGGTGATGGAGCTCAGAGATTCAATCCACCACATACTGGGTAAGGCTCTTCCTGGCCTCCCAGATCACAGACTATGTTCACACCAGAAAGGAAAGAACTGGAGGAACTTGCGAAGGGCTCTGAAGTGCATAGCAGCACACTGATGGTGAGATTCCTTGGGCTCTGCTCCAATAGACAGGGCCCCCCTGATCAGAGAAAAATGTGCAGAAATAAAGCCTGCAGTTTGTGTAGTGACAGAGGGGGATATTTTATGTCATTATTTTTTTAGCTCTTTTTTTTTTTTTTTTTTTTTTTTTTTTTAGAAAGGGTATCACAGTTTCAGAGTGCTGACCCTGACCCTCTAGTTCGCTACACAACTCAGCATAGCCTAAAACCTAAGGCAGTCTTTCTGTCTAAAGACCTGAGATAACAGAGTGTGTCACTCTTCCACAGAAGATATTTGAAAGGCATGACATCTTTCTTAGACAATTACTCTATGGCAAAAGGAAGAAAAGAATTATGGGTAACAATGAGCCCAGGAAAACTTCCATTAGAGGCTGGGCCTAGTAAGGGCAGAGCAGGGAACGGGTAGGCCTGGATCCTGGCAGATGGAGGGGGCTGAACATAGTCAGGGCCCAGGATCAGGCTAAGCATGCATGGTAACTATGGAGCATGAGCTGGCACCTGCAGTGTGGCCAGGATCAGGACCCTTGTCCTCCTCCTGTCTGCAGTTTACATCACTGAGGAGGAGCTGCTGAGCAGGACGAGGGTGTGCTGGACTAACTTTGCATGCATGAGTGGACACCCATCAACAACCCTGGTTAGGGGATTCCCATTCAGGCCTCCCCTTATCTGTGGTGACTTCATCAACATGCAGGGGTTGATTCTTTAACACATGGGAGCCTCCTCTACAATGCAAGAGCTCATTCAGACAGGAGGCACTGATCATCTATCTACCCATGACCTGGCAGGTAGGCAACATATTGTTATTTTGTCTATATAAGCCTACCTTTAAAAGAAAAGACGAACAGTCCAGATGGCTTCACCACACACAGAGCAGACACTGGTGGGAACTCCTTACGTCAAGACACCTGCACCTCCAAACCTCTACTCTCCCAGAATGCTGTACTCACTATCATGACCCAAATCAGGAAGTGAGGCTTGGGCTCAGTAGGATGCAAAATTGCTCTGCTGGGATTCTATATCTATAGGAATCCTCAAAGTAAAGGCTGCCTCATTGGTCCCTGTTTGGCCAAGATGCACAATGCCCACAGTTGGACATCCAACCAGTTGTGGCTCATGCGCTGAAAGCCTGCTGAATGGAGTTCTGGACTCAAACCCTGCCCTAGAACATCCCAGAGTTAAAGGTGGCTAAAGACAGCCACATAGAGCTATAGTATGTTATGTCTGATTTGGGGTGTACTGAGCCAAAGGGAGCCAGCCTTCGGTGCCCAAACACTCTAAAAAGACAGGACTAGCTATATTTTTCACTCATTCGTGCATTTATTCTTCATCAATCTACTCACCCACCACTTCTGAGGAACCCCTCTATGCTTCTTGTTCCAAGCCTGCCAGGGCCCTGATAGGCCATGATAGGGTGCATGTGTGAGCCCAGTGGATGCCAGCTTTTCTCTGTACCCCAAGGGACCTGTGCCCTTCCTCCCTTCATCACTTCATCATCTCCCTGTCCTTCTCTCCTCTTCTCCAAGGCCCAGACCGTCTCAAATAAAGCAGCTGCTTTGGGATTGGATTGGTGACCACACTGTGGGTGGGTGTCAAATTTCCAAGTCCACCTCTCAGTGAGTCCCATGTTTTCTCACATTTACACTAGCTAGTAAAATTGTATTACTCTCGCAGGGGCTGGAGAGATGACTCAGAGGTTAAGAGCACTGACTGCTCTTCCAGAGGTCCTGAGTTCAATTGCCAGCAACCACATGGTGGCTCACAGCTATCTATAATGAGATCTGATGCCCTCTTCTGGCATGCAGGCATACATGCAGGCAGAACATTGTATGCATAATAAGTTAAAAATTTAAATTGTATTACTCTCAGCTCTAGTAACTGTGAGCTTCTGTGATGTTTAATCTTGGTTGTCAACTTGATAACATCTGGTATTAACTAAGAGACACACCACTGGGTGGGTCTCAGAGAGCAGTTCCAGGAAGTATTTATTACCTGAGGGGAGGAGAACTTCCTCCATAGTGCATGGCATCTTTTGACTGTGCCCTAGATATAAGGGGTATAAAGAAAAAGCAATGTCTCAAGCCCACCTTCCTTTTTCAGTGTGTTCATCTCTGCTGTTGCTGCTGTCTTCAACCATCAATGTGGGATGAAGACCAGTAACTCTCTAAGAATCTTCCAGGTCGTCAATGCCAGATTGAACTGCTGAGGCATTGAGATTCTGGAACTAAGCAGAACTTAGGGTCTCCAGGCTACATGAAATCACTGTTAAAGTATCCAATCCCTATCATATAAGGCCATTATAGTAAATCCCCTTTATAATATATGCACACTCCTTAAATTCTGTTAATCCAGAGATCCATGCCTAATACAACACTTATAACAAAATCACCATAATCTCCTACTAGGTGCTGTGGTGGATAGTTATGGCCCAACTGCATGGAAGGCTGAGACAGAAGGATTGCATAACTTGCATATCTTTTTATTTCAAGAATAGTCTATTTGGATAGGAAGGAGGGGAAATTGCAGTTGGGATGTAAAATAAGTGAAAAAAGTTAATTAATAAGAAATGCAAAAAAGGAATAGCCTCCTTGGTAACAGGGGCACTGCATCTTAATATGTATTACATATATAAATGAGGGAGTGAGGACGGGTATGTGTGTTAAACCATGTAGCTTATAAACAAATGAAATGTGTTCAGTTTTGGACACAAAGAATCCAGAGTCAAAGTGCCAATAGAGTTGCTGAGTAGCAAAGCCTGGCTCTCTTACTAAAGACTTTACCTTGTGTTCTCAAGATGAACAATGGTGCTCATTATGGCAACCTCCTAACAGCCCCAACTCTTAATTTCACAATGGGTTTCAACATATGAAGCAACTTAAATGTTATCTATGATTTGCATTCAAGTTAATCAACTCATTCATCTATGTCTTGCCCAAAGGGTGCGTGGTATATTTTTTTTTAAGAAGAAATAGGTCTGGGCATCTTCATTAGTCCCTGGATGCTGAACGAGTATAAAATGTGTTATTTGTGTGTGTCCCTGAAGGAGGGAGCTGTGAATGTCTGTGTTTATGTTCCTGTCTGCTGAGGTTTGTTTATTACCGTGGACTAGAAATGCTATGAGATACGTATTTTGCATGATTAGGACATCTGTGAATGTGTCTGAGGGGTGTATCCTGGAAGTGGGATGTGGTATCAGAACATTCAGAAATGTCCAGCAGAGGAGATGCCTGTTCCCTGTCCTTAAGCACATCTGGCCCCTGACACCTCCTGGATTCTTGTGACACTACTACTATTTCATCTCCTGTGATTTCATTTCATTCTTACCCTATGGTTGTCACTAATACCATTAGTGTCACTTCATGCCATTTTAAAAAGGTGACAATTTGTATTGAGTTTGCCCCTGGTTCTCCCAGCATTTCATTTGGTCATGGGGACTGAGGCAGGGGAAGCACCTGGCAGGAAGGGCTGGGACCACAGATTGCACAAGAGTGCACGGCGAGCACAATGGTGAATCAAAAGCAGGACTTGTACACTGGAGAGGGCAGGAGAAGCCATGACTGTTTTATGTCAGAGAAGCCAGAAAGGAACCAAGAAGGAAGTCCAGCTGTGCCAGGCTGTGGGTCCCTAGACGGTTGGGGGCTGGAAAGTTAGGGCCAAGATTGGTTCTCACAGGACAGTAAAGGCTGTCTGACTTGGATCATCACACCTCTTCCTCCAGGAAATCAAACTGAGCTCAGTGTGAACTCCTGATCCTGTTCTCATTGATGCATCTCACCAGGGCTCTCTACAATGCTGAAACTCCCAATTATAGACCCGTGTGTCTCCAGATTTTTCACAGGCTCTGAAACCTAGACTGTCCTCAGTATTGGAGACAGCAATGCTTCATGAAAGGCTATTGTGGGGGGAATGGGTGGTAAGATGCCTAAGTGGGTAAAGAGACTTCCAACAAAGCCTGAAACCCTGAGTTGGGTCCCCTAAACCTACATGGTGGAAGGAGAGAACTGATTCCCAGAAGTTGCCCCATGACCCTCACATGTATGCCATGACATTCGAGTACCCACACACCTATATACACACACAATAAATTGCTATTAAAGGAATAAACAAATAAATAAATAAGAAAATGTTTAAAAGTTTCCCAATTGCACAAAGGGTTGTGAAGTTGATCTGCAAAGAGCTGGCCACTAGAAGAGACACAGTACAAAATAGCCGTGATCTATGGGGAGGGATCCATCCCATCCTATAATCACTATAATGGCCACATTCTGAGTTCCTGCCATCGTAATTCTCTCCACCTGTGGCATCTTCAGAATTTACCTACTCAGAGAAGCCCTCCAGGCTTCTCCTGTTACAGTGTTCTGTCCCCTGACCTCCACAACAGCACTGACTTCTGGCCAGGGAGTAGTCATGGTGAACCCAGGTTTGAGAACAGGGCTCTGGATATCCCAGAACTGCAGAGCCATACTACATCTTTCAGAAGGACAAAGAGCAGGAACTGCAGGAGTGTATTTGTCCTGAGTGTTGGTCATCAACTCCTGTCACTTCTGCCTTTAGTTGTCAGGAAGTAAAACCTTTGCCCCACCCCACGTGTTCCCCCACCTACATCCCTTTTGGTCCTATCTGGGCAGCATATATATTCTGCTTTGGGTTGTTGAGACACTGTCAGTCTGAAACTGAACAGTATCAGGCCTGGGAGCTGATCATGTCACTAGACAGATTTCCTGGCTGGCTGAATGTTGTGGCCTGTGGGCTCCTGCTTCTCCTCCTCCATGTGCAGGGTAAGACTCCCTTCATGACAATGGGGACCTGAATCAGAGCTGCCCAGTTCAGTCAGAGGCTGAGCTTGCAGGAGGAAGACACCAGGGAGGGAGAAACTCATAGAGATGACAGGTGAAAGTATGGGAATCTGTGTCACTCAAAGCCTCCACCAAAACCCGCAGAATGAGCGCTTAGCACACAGAGGGTCAGAGATGTCTAAGGTTACTTCATACTAAGGAGCCAGACCAATGGGAGGGGCTCTGAGGAGCTGAAGTCATGAGGAAAACAGAAGGGTAATTTCCTACCTCTGTGTGTGGCTATGACTATTCCTAGTTTTGGATAATAACAATAACACCTCATGTTACCAAATGGCTATGAGTGTGTGACATCTTTGGTCATAGAAATGCTCCGACACCCTTCAAAAGGGAAATGGGGATGGTTCCTGGCCCTGAGGGATAGAGAAGCTCCTACACTCATACCCCACAGCTGAACCAGGAGGTCCTGGGTTCCCTTCCTATGTGCTCTGGCAACAATGAGGTGGGAACTCCCACAATCTGTGGGAGCTGATTGCACAAAACCAACCATGATGGCATCTCTCCACACAGGTCGGGACTCATCAAAGATCAACGTCATCAGAAATACACACACAGGTAAAGTCAGAGGCAGCCTTGTCCATGTGAAGGACACCAAAGTTGGTGCCCACAACTTCTTGGGAATTCCCTTTGCCAAGCCACCTGTAGGACCACTGCGCTTTGCACCTCCTGAACCCCCTGAATCATGGAGTGGTGTGAGAGATGGGACCTCGCAACCAGCCATGTAAGTTCTGTTCCCAGAGAATGTCTGGCCCTGGGGTGAAGAGTTGCTCTGAGTTCTGGGCCATGCTGAAGTGTTTCCTCCATCTCAACTACACAGCAGTTCCCTGCCTGTGCTGAGGGGCATCTCCTGTGCATTTTTCTAATGCATATGTTAAGGTTTAGAATAGCACAATTGTACCAGGTACCTAGGTCAAAGCTTAGCACATGTAAGGAGTTAGCTCCAGATATGACAGTGAGAAAGATATCCAAACTGGTCCCTGAATCAGATTGTGCCAAGTGAACTCTAACAGTGGAGAAGTCTGTGAACATAGATATAGGTTTTGATCACTGAATATCTCTTTGGATCAGCATGGATCATTGTCCCCAGGTGTCTACAAAATGATGATATAATGAATTTGGAGGGTCTGAAGAGGATTAAGATGATCATGCCTCCCATCTCTATGTCTGAGGACTGCCTGTATCTCAACATCTACACACCAGCTCATGCCCATGAAGGCTCTAACCTGCCTGTGAGAGTTGGACCAAGGTCAACTGGGTGGCCTAGGAATATTAGAAAGACAAAATCAACTTGAGTTCTACCTTGTGCTACATAGCAGCCTCCTAGCATCTCTCCTGATTTTTTTTAGGTGATGGTATGGATCCATGGTGGTGCACTGATTATAGGCATGGCTTCCTGGTATGATGGATCCATGCTGGCAGCCATTGAGGATGTGGTGGTGGTCAATATACAGTACCGTCTGGGTGTCCTGGGCTTTTTCAGGTGAGCCTAGGGCTGGTCTGTGCAATGGCATCTGAGAAAAAACTAGACAGCCCTTTGATAATCGTCCCCTCCCACTTCTCAGCACTGGAGACCAGCATGCCAGAGGCAACTGGGGCTTCTTAGACCAAGTGGCTGCCCTACGCTGGGTCCAGCAGAATATCGCCCACTTTGGAGGCAACCCTGACCAGGTCACCATTTTTGGCGAGTCTGCAGGTGGCATAAGTGTGTCTTTACATGTTGTGTCCCCCATGTCCCAAGGACTCTTTCATGGAGCCATCATGCAGAGTGGGGTGGCCCTACTGCCTCACCTTATCTCTAACACATCTGAGATGGTCTTCATGGTAAGTGTCCTCCATCACCCCAGCCCTAACTTTCTGCCTTATCCCTGAGTCTCTGGTACTCTGATGCTCTGTTCAGTAGGGAAACAAGGGCCATGGGAAATAGCTTCTTTCCAATAACTTTTAAGAGGTTCAAGGATTAGAATCTACTTCCCTCTACCTTATGCATGCTAAATACATTATGTGGCTAGCAAAGCTGCTCCCAGCAGCTTCCATCTTTAGCAAAAAACAAGTATGCATGGTTTGGGGAGATGATTCAGTTGATGAGAGAGCCTGCTCTGTGCTAGTTTTGGGACCCGAATTCAAATAATCAGAAACCACATAATGCTAGATGTGGTAGTACTTACTTGCAATCCCAATGTTCCTATGGTGAGTTGGGTAGTAGAGATGGTAGTACTCTAAAGGTCTACTGCATTTGTGTAGGCAGCAGTAAACAACAAGAGACCCTGTCTCAAACAAGGAAGATGACAAATAATATCCAAGGTTGTCCTCTGACTTTCATAACGTGGCACACAATACACATTGTCACATAGGAACACATACACACAAAAAACCCCACAAATTCATGCAGATAGAATGCTCCCTTTCTCAGCTGTCAACTCTGAACAACAGGAAAATGGGAGCAATTTTACCGTAATCCATGCAAAATACACGGTATGATGCTATATTTAAGGATGGTGGTACCTACTTGGAAATGCTAAGACACTGCTCCCTGCCAAGGAGGATGAGTCCGCTAACACCTACTCCCATTACAGATGGTGGCAAATCTATCTAGATGTGCAACTTGGAACTCACAGTCCCTGGTGCACTGCCTTCGAGGCAAGAGTGAAGCAGAGATTCTGGCAATTAACAAGGTTGGCAGAATTGTGTGGGTGGCAAGATAGGAGACAAAGCCGGGCGTTGGTGGCACACGCCTTTAATCCCAGCACTCAGGAGGCAGAGGCAGGCAGATCTCTGTGAGTTCGAGACCAGCCTGGTCTACAAAAGCTAGTTCCAGGACAGCCTCCAAATCGAAAAAGAAACCCTGTCTCGGGAAAAAAAAAAAAAAAAAAAAAAAAGATAGACAATAGGATGTGTGACAACAAGTCCTCACTACTCTGGACAAATTACCCTTTCTGCATGGCTTGGTATCCTGTTAGTCCTGGGGACAAAATGAACACCTACATAATCTAATTTAAGTGCAGGGTCTCTTCAGAGGTGAGCTAGGAGAAGTGTGGTGGGGATGATTATCCTGAGACAAGTAAGAAAATAGGGAAATGGTGGAGAACACTAATTGGCCATCAGAATTTTGTGTGTGTGTGTGTGTGTGTGTGTGTGTGTGTGTGTGTGTTAAATCTTCAATACCAACCCTGCATGTCCCTCAGGCCTTCAGGATCATTCCTGCTGTGGTGGATGGGGAGTTCCTACCCAGGCATCCACAGGAGCTGTTGGCCTCTGCTGATTTTCATTCTGTCCCCAGTATCATTGGTGTCAACAATGATGAGTATGGCTGGATTCTCCCACTGGTAAGGCCCAGTTCTAATCTCCTATATGCATGGAGTCTTACATGGTTGGCAATGGGAACTCAGAGATTCATTGATCCAGCTCACTTCAAACTCAAAACATTCTCCACATCCTAGATCTTCAGCTCTTCTCAGACATTAAAGAAAATAACCAGAAGGACCCTGAAGGCTATTCTTAAGAGCACAACAGTGGAACTGTTGGTGAGAATCTTTGCGACCCGTCCCCACTGAGAAGACCTCTCAATATTCTACCCAGAGAACATCCCTACAAGTGTGTGTGTGTGTGTGTGTGTGTGTGTGTGTGTGTGTGTGTGTGTGTGTGTTTGGCTGGCTGGGGTCACTCAGAGTTTTCCCCCTACCTATACCAGATCTTATGCATTCCCTCCCTAAGACTGTTGTCTTGCTATCCTAGTGCTTACCTAACCTCATTCTTCCTGATGCCCTTGGTGTAGATGCTGCCTCCAGAGTGTAGTGACCTGTTAATGGAAGAATACATGGGGGACACTAAGGACCCACAGACCCTCCAAATACAGTTCACAGAGATGATGGGAGACTTCATGTTTGTGGTCCCTGCACTCCAAGTAGCACATTTTCAGCGTGAGTATACTTGTAATGAGGCCAAGAGGGGAAGCTCAAAGCTGTGGGTCACAGGTGATCTCTGTAGTGTCCAGGCCTGACCTGTGTCTGAATCAGATCTCTGGTTCCAGAAAACTGAGAGTCTTTATCTAGTAAATTCTTATATTGAGTGTAAGAGAATGATGTCTTATCTGGAAACAGTTGAGTTATATTCCATGACTTGTGCAAACTATTCCCCCTGGGGAGGCCAGAGTCATTATTTAACATTAGGCTTTCCCACAGCCAGTGCTCCAGGCTGGGACTCCACACTCAACTGTTGTGATTCCAGATAACTTGATACCAAGTTATCTTGTCACCAAATGTCGGTCAGGACTGTATGAGACAAGTTGTGCTTATTTCACAATGTGTTCTTGCCCTCAGGTTCCCATGCTCCTGTCTACTTCTATGAGTTTCAGCATCGGCCCAACTTTCTCAAGGATTTAAAGCCACACCATGTAAAGGCTGATCATGGTGATGAGGTTTTCCTTATCTTTGGATCCTTCTTCTGGGGTGTCAAAAGTGAGTCTCCCCCTTTTTTTTTTTTTCATGAACAGAATGAAGAACCAAGTTTGTTCCTGAATGATGTCTGAGCTTTGAATCCAGGTTAGGAAGTCAAGGCTCTGGGTAAAGCAGGATCAAGTGTGTACTATCTCTCAGCTTAAAAACCTACTCTGGGCTTGGATCTTTCTTAGTTTTTGTGCTAGAGGAAATGATGATTCACTGGCTCAGGATTAAGCCTTGGGGCAATTTCTTAGAAAACTAAATGGATCTTGGATGCTGAGTCATAAGGGAGGGAGGGAATGAATACTAGAATCCAATTTTAGGCTACAGCTGGTATGGTAAGTAAAGCATGAGCTGGGCAGCTACATTAAATGACTTGATTTGGACCCTTGTGCTCTCATCTGCAGTTAACCTCACTGTAAAAGAGAAGCTGCTGAGCAGGAGAATGATGAAGTATTGGGCCAACTTTGCACGACATGGGTAAGAAGATGCTCTTCCCTCTAACTTCCAAGGGTTGGGTCTCCATCTATCAATCCATTTGTGATTGGTGATCTCATTAGCATGCATATCCTTCTATAGGACTCAATAGAGTCCTCTATATCCAAGGTACACTGAGATAGACACTTTGTAGGTATTGGCAACTGGTCATCTCACAATAAGCTGTGGATGGATGACAGTACTGTGGTACTGTTCGTTAGATATTGCCTCTGAGAAGGAGGCACAAAACAGGCCAAGTAGCCTTACCCCACACGGAGTAGATACTAGTAGATACTACTTGTATCCCTAAATAGGGACATCTGCCTCATCAGTCCCCTAGTCTGCTTAGTCCACTGCCCTGACTCAGCTGTAAGATCAGGCCTTAGAATGAATGTGATCTTTATCCTTCCCTGCTGCTTGTCATATCCACAGGAACCCCAACAGTGAAGGTCTACCCTACTGGCCAGTATCAGACCAAAATGAAGAGTACCTTCAGCTGGACATCCAGTCTTCTGTGGGTCATGCCCTGAAGGCCAGAAGACAACAGTTCTGGACCAAGACTCTTCCCCAGAAGATTCAGGAGCTAAAAGGGGCTCATGGCAAAAACAAGAATGTGTAATACCCAATTTAAGGGAAGGTATGTGAACTTCATTAAGTTAAGGTTAACCTGAGGTTCTCACAGCCCATTTAGAATCCAGAATTGATTCCTACACTCGTGTAACCATAACTAATCTTTATTATCCATTTTGCCAAAATGTATGGCAAACACTCTACTTGTCATTCCTTACTCAAAATGCTAGACAAACTTTTATTACATGAACTCCATAAAGGCTCTCTTAAAAGTGTGGATGTGTAAGTCCCAAAGTGCACCCAACTTCAGTCACACTCTTCTGGTACTAGACCCCTATCTCCCCTTCTCCCCATCTTCTCTCCAGCCTCTTCTCTTCCCCAAGAACAAAACCCAGAAACTTTGGGCATTGTTGACTACACAGGACTAACTTTATCAAAACCCCACCCTTCTCTCAGCAAGTCCCATGTTTTCATATATTTATAAATGGCCAGTAGATAATCTTATTGCCCTAAGTCCTATTTTCTTCATAAGTTCAAGCTACTGTTCCAGCCAGATCATGAACTGCCCCAGATATTGTGATGGTTATCTATGGCCCCATTTACTCAGAACCTGAGACAGGAATATTGCATGAGCCCCGGAGTTCCAGATCAGCTTGGGCAACACAGAAAAAGACCTACATCTCATGAACAAAAACAATCATAAGCTGTGTGATTTGCAAAGAGCAGAAATGTATGGAGTTCTGTGGACCAAGAAATACAGAGTCAGGTAGCCAGCACATCTACTATGAGGCAATGACTAGCTGTTTAGCTCAAAGATTAAACACTGTGTGCTCTCCTTATAGAATGTGCAAATTATGGCACTCTGGGCTTTCTACAGGTCCCACTCTTAATAACAACACATTAGGAATTAGATTTCTGCAAACGAATTTGAGCCACACAGGCTTTCCAAGCTCAGCTCCTAGACCTCTCTGACATCAGCCACTGAGCATGCCAGCCTCAGAAAAACTCTTTGCAGATTTCTCTATCGAGAAAAATCTCATCTATTTCCTGCCCAAATTGTAAATGATACACTTTTATGAAAAGCTGATTTAACATGTTCATAAATGCCTCAGGCTGGGTCAGGAGTGGGGGTTGACCAGCAGGCCCAGATGGACTTCCTTTAATAATAAATTTGCCCTTATACCCAGTGTGCATTTGTAAACACTGTGAAGCCCACACTTGTATGAGAATGTGACATATGTGAAGACCTTCTGCTCTGGCGTGTGTCATGGATGTGAGATGGGGGAGGTAGGAATGTGCACACATGTGTAGAAGAAGAGATTTCTGTCCTTGTTTTTAAGAAATCCTCCTGTAACATCCTAACTCTTCTTAATAATTTATGTATTAATTTTCATTCTGTTATAGCTGTTCTTAAACTTTTCAACCCCAGCAACTCAAGGTTTCTTGTATTTTATGCCATTTACAATGATGCCAAACTGTGCCTTTTCTTTCCCCAATATTGATTTTTTAAAGATTTTATTTATTCATTATGTATACAGTCTTCTGCCTGCATGCCAGCAGAGGGTATCAGATCTCATTCAAGGTGGTTGTGAGCCACCATGTGGTTACTGGGAATTGAACTCAGGACCTCTGGAAGAACAGTCACTGCTCTTAACCTCTGAGTCATCTCTCCAGCCCTGTCCTATTGATTTTTGAACTTCTCATCCCTCTACCTCTGGCCAATTTGCCTTCCTTAGGTACCAGTTTCCCTAAGACAAAGTCCCTTTTCATTCACAATACCTTTAGATGAAAGTGAAGACTCTGTGTTGTCTTCTTGGACACCAAGGCACCAAAGAAGATGGGAGTGCTAAGCCCTGGCACAGAGGCTGAGCCCATAGATACTTTTTGTTCACCCCAAGAATCCCTTCAAGCCCTCATGTTCTGCTTTCTGACGAGATGGGGCGCATTCAGGGTTGTATGGCCGTAGACGATTTTCTGCTTTCTGTTGCTGTAATTTGCACTTGGATATGGCTTGGGAACACTGTAGCTCTTCCTGTCGTATCCTATAAGAGGAATCACTGGTGTTTAGCTGCCATCAAGCATGTCCTTGAGATGAGATAAATACTTCCTTCTGTCATTGAGAGTTCTAATACATACATACACACACACACACACACACACACACACACACACACACACACACACACTATCCTCTCAGCAGCTGCATATTTGAGTCACTTCCATATTAAGATTCTTCTTTAGTTGAGACAGGTAGTGTTTTTTGAGACAAGGCTCTTATTCTGTAGCCCAGACTGGGATAACATTCACCATTCTCCTATCTCAACCTCTGGAGAGTGAGATTGCAGGCAAGCATCGCTAGGTTGTTTCTAGCAATCATAATGAACAATTTCAAATACAACTTTGTATGACCACAGGCTTTCAATTCTGTTGTTGAAAACAGAGGTATGACTATGAAGGGAAAGGCACTTACTATCAAACTTCATGACCTAAGTCTGATTCTTGGGACCCACATGATAGACAAAAAGAATGGATTCCCGGAAAGATTGTTCCAAAATGACTGTGTCATATTTCAAACCCTTTAGACATGTGTGAGGTGCCAGTTGTTTCATAGCCTCATCTGTGCTGGGACTTGGGAAACATCAATATGGCTGTACTGGGTGGCTGTGTAGATATTTTTCTGGACCTTTGTCTTTATTTTTATTATTGTTACCATTACTTTGGTGTTTCCTTTCTTTTGGTGGGACATGGGGCCTTGCTGTCTGTTCCAGGCTGTCATTAATCTCAAGATTCACCAGCTTCTGCTTCTCAATTGTTAGGAATACTTGAGTTTGCCAACATTCCCACTTTCCTGAGACTTTTAGCCTCTGCCTCCAGCTTCCTCTTTGTTTATCTCTATCTCAGTCTTCCTCCATTCAGATTCTGCTTCCATCTCTTTCTCTGACCCAATCTGCCCTCACCTTCTCTCACACATATTTAATTCAATTTTTCCTTCAGTTGTGATGTGGCACATTCCTGTAAATCCCAGCACTACAGAGGCTGAGGCTTGCACTTCTTGAATATTATTAATATTATTATTACATGTGCAATATTAATCAGATATTATGTCATGTGCAGATAAATGGATGGAACATGAAAACATACTGAGTGAAGTAACCCAGACCCAAAAATACAATGTGCTTCCTTAGATATGGGTCATAGCTCTGAATCTTTAAATGTGATTATAATAATATAAGAATATAAATATTGGAGGTGTAAGTAATGTCTGAAGGTCCAGAAATGTCCAGCAGAAGAGATGCCTTTTCATTGTCCCTGAGCCTACCCATGTGCAAAGAGACATATCTGCCCCTAAGACCTCCTAGATCCTCGTGGCACTACTACTATTTCATCTCTTAGGGCTTTATTTTCATTCTTACTTTATTGTTGTCCCTAAACTCTCACATATACTTTATGTCATTTTACAAAGGTGACAAATTGTATTCAGTTTGCCCTTGGTTTCTTCCAAAGTATTTTCCCTCTGTCATTAAGCTGATGGTTTCCTCGTCTAATCCCTGATGTTCCCATAGATTCCTACCTGTGACCAACTTGCCCCCCTGGGGTACAGGTATTCATTCACAGGTTGTCAAATTCCTTCTTCCATCCATTTTGTTGAAGACCAACCACAGAAACTTTATCATCAGCGAGGATTCTTACATTGTCCATTCCAAACACCGAGGGGCAGAAGAAAGATGAAACATTTAGTCTTGGCTCTGTAGCTGAGCCAAGAAGAATGCTTCCCTTGAGTGCAGGGTGAGTGATTCTTTGACTGGGGCCTCTAGCCATTATGGATCTCCTGTTGCACACATGCATCTGTGAGGTCCCCATTTATGCTGACATACAGGACACTTCAGCAAATGACCTTTAAAATTTCAGGATCTGCAATACTTCTTAAAAGTTTTGATATCAAGCCAGGCGTTGGTGGCGCACGCCTTTAATCCCAGCATTAGGGAGGCAGAGGCAGGCGGATCTCTGTGAGTTCGAGACCAGCCTAGTCTACAAGAGCTAGTTCCAGGACAGCCTCCAAAGCCACAGAGAAACCCTGTCTCAAAAAAACAAGAAAAAAAAAAAAGTTTTGATATCAAATGATTCCTTTGGGACCAAATTTACCCACTTACTGGGACAGATGGGTAAATTTTACATAAAATGTGAGATATGCAACCACACGCACTAAAGTATGAGACTACTTCTTCCCATGGAAAAATTCCCTTGAGCTCTTTTATTTCAGGCATTGCCTGGTCCCTGCTCCAGGGCAACCACTTTCTGATTCTACCATTTGGAAACTGTGTCTAATTTAGAAACATCAGAACCTTGGTTATCCTATCTCAGAAAAGGAATTGTTTATGACTGATCCTGTTAGTAAGTACAACATCTTTGAGAGTCAAGTGTGCTGTCATTTGGTCAACAGCGACATTCCACATATTCACATAACACATATTACTCCATCACTGGTTGATGTACATTTACACGACCTTTTTGATTAAACTCTTCTCCCAATCTGTTTTATTATTTATTTTTTAAGACAAAACTACTATTTTTATTGAAAATAGATTTTTTTCCTATGTTTATTACAACCTCCCCTTCCCCAACTCCTCCCAGATCCTCCCCACTAACCTACTATCATTAGAAAAAATAAACGTCTAGAGAAAATAATAATAAAATTAAAAGTCTTAGCCCCACTGTTTAGTAGTTTTTGTGATCCTGGAAGTTTCTAAACTCACTATACCTCAGTTTTTCTAGTTGCAAAATGACAGAATTAAAAGGTCATTTTATGAGCCCTCGGGATTAAATGACTTAATTCATAGAAATTGTCTAGGAGATACTGTCAACTAGTACACAGTAAATGTTAGCTGCTGATAACCTGTTTATTCAAAAACAACACCATTATATCCTTTATGGTAAATTCATATTGCTTATCTTTTTATTATTTTATTTAAATAATATTTTTTCATTTATTTTATATATTGATCAGAGTTTCTCCTCCCTTGTTTCCTCCTGGTTGCCTCCCCACACTTC